TCAAGATACTGTTCCGGTGAAGACACGAAAATCTTGTTTGCAATTCCAACAACCTTGGTGGAATCCGCAATTGCGTAATCTGTGTAACCGTCTTTTCGCTGACTTTTTCAGAAGTGTTTTCGAACCCGATCAAACTCCTCCACCGCAGCAATACATTGATCAGCTACCAAGATACGACATTCACCTGCAGCAGCTCATCTTCAGTCAAGACGCTATTCTCAAAGCCCTTTGCTCAGTCGATCCATCGAAAGCTCCAGGCCCGGACCGTATTCCACCGTCTTTCGTCAAGAACTGTTTGGCATCGTTGGCCACTCCCGTTATGTCTATTTTCAATCGATCGCTTAAGAATGGTGTTTTTCCGGATGCCTGGAAGCTCGCCTCAATTAAACCAATCTTCAAGTCCGGTAACATGCACAAAGTGGAAAATTACCGACCTATCTCGATCCTGAACTGCTTGGCCAAAGTTCTCGAAAGTCTTCTGCATGAGAAGTTGTATCCAGCTGTTCAACTCATAATCTCAGAGTTTCAGCATGGATTCATGAAAAAGCGCTCGACAGTCTCTAACTTGATGACTTACACGAACACTCTTATAGGTTGCATCGAGAAGCGTCAGCAAGTGGACTCCGTTTACATCGACTTCTCTAAGGATTTTGACAAAGTCCCTCACGACCTAGCCATTATGAAGCAAAACCGCCTTGGTCTTCCACCGTGGATCGTTTGTTGGTTGAAATCATAATCATAATCATTATGGATGATAAATCCAGGAAGGCTTTCGCTAAGGTACGTGATTCCAGATCCAAGGTATTCAATATACCATCGGGGGTTCCACAAGGGAGTCACCTAGGACCGCTCATTTTCGTTCTGTTTATCAACGACGTGTGTGATATGCTAAGTTCCTGTAAGTTGATATATGCGGATGATCTTAAGCTGTACCGTATGATCAAACCGATCGTGGATTGTTGCGCACTACAAGCTGATATAGAACGATTGTCATCCTGGTGTCAGATGAATGGAATGCAAGCCAATGCTGCCAAATGCAAAGTGATTACCCTTACCCGCTCTCACTCTCCGATCATTTTTGATTACTCTATGAATCAATCGCCGCTGGAAAGGGTTAATGCCATTAAGGATCTTGGGCTCATCTTGGACAGCAAACTACGGTTTAACGAGCACATATCCATGACAGTTGCAAAGGCCAACTCCATGCTAGGATTTTTGCGCCGCAATACTGCAAAATTCGACGACGTGTACGCCCTGAAAGCACAAACGAAGTGACAGATGACTAACTGGCGAAGAAATCGATTAAAATAATGTGGTTCGCTGTAATAGAATATTCTTAGAATCTTGTGCCATCATCCACCAGATGGGATAGCATTTTTGTTTTGGTTTTGCACAAAGTTGATTTTGTGTACAACGATTCTTTGACAGTGTGGAAAGAGTGTATCATTTTGTCATTTGTTTATGCATTTCAGTTTTGTGTAGAGTGAAAGAGATAGAACCAAAACATTCTAGTACATTAGGTGAAAATGCTAGTTCAATCCAGTAGTAGTGTTGCCATGTGGTACACTGAAAAATTTCAATAGCAGGTTAGTCACCAAAGTTTTCGAGCCACTTTGTTTGTGCTGAAAGCGCTGTACTGCTCTATGGTCCGCAGTGTTCTTGAATATGGAGTACAAATTTGGGCTCCATATCATGCTGTTCATGTACTGCCCATCGAGAGAATCCAGAAACAGTTAATAAAGTTTGCATTACAACGTCTGCCATGAACAAATCCAGATAGCTTACCTCCGTACGAGCATAGATGTGCGCTTATTGGACTGCAAACACTAACAAATCGCCGAGTCTTTCTCCAGAGGATGTTCATAATTGACATGATTAGTAATCATATTGACTGCAGTTGTTTGCTCGGGAACATCAATTTCCACACTCCAGCTCCCCGCATAAACGCGAACCATAAATTGACCGTACCTAAAATGGTTAAAAATTGTTTATAATCCCTGCTAAACTTTAACTGAAATGGCTATGGAACTTTACACGAACGTTTAATGATAAAGTTTCAACCTTATGTATTATGGTTTTTTGGAACTGGACCTTACAAATAATGGGTTGTTAAGAACCATTACCGTTCCAAATTCTTGTTTTCTCCATACATTTTCGGAAAGAGAACTATATTAGAACCTTTTAACTTATGGTTTGAGAACTTTAATGGTAATGGTTATGGTAGTCAGTAAGGTCCACGAATGGTTTTGTAACATCTATCAACTTTATGTGGAATATATCGCGAATTGGTTGCCTGTAATTTACTGATTACCAATTCACGATATATTCCACGTAAAGTTGAGCGATAATACAAAACCATTAATGGACCTTACTGACTACCATAACCATTACCATTAATGTTCTCAAATCATAAGTAAAAACGTTCTTATATAGTTCTCTTTCTGAAAATGTATGGAGAAAACAAGAATTTGGAATGGTAATGGTTCTTAACAACCCATTATTTGTAAGGTCCAGTTCCAAAAAACCATAATACATAAGGTTGAAACTTTATCATTAAACGTTCATGTAAAGTTCCATAACCATTTCAGTTAAAGTTTAGCAAGGATTATAAACAATTTTTAACCATTTTAGGTAAGGTCAATTTATGGTTCGCGTTTATGCGGGTCGCCGTCTCCGAGGTCAACCCGCCAACTAAACCGTTTCCGAAATTTCCTGGTATCCAAGTGAAGTTATCCATTGATCATACAGTACCACCAAAGAAGATCGCATATTTGAGAGTCCCTTCTGCTTTGGAACAAACGGTTGACGATAAAATTCAAGTAATGCTCCGCAGTGACGTAATCGAAAGAGTGAAAGGTCCCGCCGAATGGGCAATTCCAAAGGGCAAGGATGATGTTAGAATATGTATTAACATGAAGCATCCGAATGAAGTCATCCAGCGGGAGCATTATCCTTTGCCCGTCATCGATACTTTTGTGAACAAGCTTAAGGGGTCCACATTTTACTCACTATTGGACGTAACATCTGCGTACCACCATGTCGAGCTTCATCCCGAATCAAGAGGCGTAACAATATTTATGACCGGAAAGGGTTTGATGCGGTTCAACAGCCTAGCGTTCGGAATCAACTGTGCACCCGAAATTTTCCAAAGGATTATGGCGGAGTTACTTGCCGGTATCGAGGGTGTTATCGTCTATATTGACGATATCATCGTATCGGGCAGGAACAAAGAAGAGCACGACAGGCATTATCAGCAGGTTTTAGCGGTGTTGGAGAGTAACAATGATACGCTCAACAAATGTAAGTGTGTCTTCAGAGTTGAGAAACTTGAGATCCTGGGTTTGAAGTGAGCGCGTTCGGTGTAAGTCCATCCGAAGAGAAAATAACGGCTATCAAAAACATTCGGCCACCGTCATCCAAGGAAGAAGTCCACAGCTTCCTGGGACTTGTCAACTTTGTCGGTCAATTTATTCCAAATCTCTCTACGAGAACAGAATCTTCGAGGAAGCTCCTTCGGGGTAAAGTAGACACATTCGGTGTGGATCAAATGAATTCCTTCGATGATTTGCGGCACAAGCTGTGTAATAACGTTCGCAAACGGCACTGGCCATTGTATGGGCGGTTGATTTTTTTTATCTGTATCTTTTCGGCCTCTTGAGTATATATACGAAGGGAAACATCGCGATGGAAGACGTGCGTGCTCAGGAGCAGAAGGTTGGGCACTCCGCCTGCAGCCGTACGATTTCGAGATCAAGGTATATTCCTGGATCGACGAACATTTCAGATGTACTATCCCGTCTGGTGATTGAGTCCGATAAACCATTCGATGAGTATGCAGATCACTTCCTGTTTGCAGTAGGTAAAGGGCCCTTGGTGATTACTTTAGATGAGATAAGGCAAGCAACGATTAAGGCTGTGGACACGCAATGTTGGTCACCGGAATTGTTTAGATACCAAGCTTTTGAAAAAGAACTCGGTGTGATGTAAGAGGAAGAGAAGACAATACGGGGGCGAAAACGAACCACTTTTCTGTCAAACACGAACCAGCTCGTCATTGACCGATTTAAAGTGCGTAAGATAGAGATAAAAGAGTATGAAGCCAGTTGTCTCCTCTTCCTCTTTGGGTGTGATCGCCGGCATTATGATAAGAGATGACAGGATTATTCTCCCAACGTCAGAGAGCATTGAAAATTGTACACCGAGGCCATCCTGGAGTGGTTGCGATCGTTGCGATGCGAAGGAATATAAGCGAGAAAATTTGGTGGCCATCCGGATTACAAAAGACTAAAAAACGATTTTAAGGTGGTCCTGACAGAAATTCAATTATATCTCACAAGGGTTATGCCATAGAACTTGGTGTCTTCAGCAAACGAAATATTTATAACTCTACAACTTTACTGAAAACATAAACCAATTACCTCATAGTTACAAAAAGTTAGTTTTTCTAAGTGTAATACCACCTTAATGAAAATTCCAGTGCATATTTTGAAAGATGCAGAATATCACTTCAAGCAACTTCTTTGAGGACACCTAGGTGCTAAATCATCGGAAAAAGTGAGATGCTTGCCCTTAGCGGAGTGGTCATTAACTTGGAGAATGTTGGAGAAATGTGTCATATCTAGAGCACGTGGAATGTCATCAACAGGACAGTAACAGCTGATTCGGTACTAAGTGCATGAGCACTCACAGCCTAGAAGAGGCAACCACTAACCAAACGCAGCAGGTACACATTCCCACTCGCAATCCTTATCAATAGCGAGCAAATGCAGCATGTTATAGCTGCGGACAATCCAAACAAACATTCCTCAGGTTGCCATCAGTGACCACCACGACACGCCGATCCGGCGGACATCGGCTCTGGGCTTCGTGTCCCCTGCAGTGGGAACGCATGCGCGCCCTCAAGCTTCGGGTCGGAAGCTTTCCCGAGGGAAAGCTCCGTTTCTGATAAAACCAAGCACGGCTTCGGGGTTCGCTCCAGTTCGTCGGTGAAGTTGCTCGGATACGGAAGTTCCCCCCTTGAAAAGTGAAAGACTTGAACGCGGTGGAAGGAGGCGTGCGTGGTTTTCTTTCTACACACGTAGGGAAGTGTTCTTCTTGCTGTCGGAACGGGGATAAGTGCAAATATAGCGCATCCAGATCGGCAACGGCCGGAGAGGATATATTTATTGGCAAACACATGTGCGTGCAGATGTGGCCCTGTGTGGGAGCCCCGCTGAAATTATTGTGTTATCGGCCAAAGTGAAGAATAGTGTACATTTATAGGACGATCAAGAGGCGGAGGTGTGGGAGGTTCAATCATCTGTTGTTTTATTTTTTTTGCTGGAAGGAAACTTCCTTCGTTCATACGGGGACCACTAATTGTCTGTCGAATTGCAGCCTGTTGCGTTGTCCGATGTGTTATTGGTGTTTGTGTGCGATGGCCTAAATTTAGGCCAAAAGGTTAGGCGAAATCAACCAAGTGCACCGGGGGAGGCCGTGCAGCGCCTACTGAGTGATTGAACAAACTACGACGCCACGCTACTTACCTACTGTGTGTATAAGTGCAACTTGTTTTTCCTCCTCGGTGCAGTGAATATTGAAAAATGGAAAATTGCGCGTGTGAAAAATGTGAAACCATTATTAGTTATTGAATCAGTTTGTTCAACGTTCCGCTCTTCGCCTGCCTTTTAGTGTGCATTGCACTGTGTCCAGCCTATCTGTGTCTGCTTGTTTGCCGCGCCAGTTCAAAAAGGATTACAACTAATCGCATTTGATGGGGCAACACCAGTAGTGTTGGTTGGCCGGTGTATCCTGGCTCGCTTGGCCACAAAGGGAAAAGCCACGTGGACTGTGGACGACGAGACATTCGCCTATCGACGGGAGAGAAGGATTGACATGCTGAAGAAAACGACAGTAGTAACAACAACAACAACAACAACAACGTAAGTGCCTTTCTTTTCGTTTTTCCTTTCTTCTTGGAAGGCTCCGACACGGGTTTTGCGACGATTGTGGCACATTGGGGACGTGGCTCAATTTGTTCGAAAAGTATGACGATGTGCAGTGAACTGAATTGCTGATTCCGCCACGGCAAGATGCAGCAAACAGGGGAAATATGGTTCGTTCTGGGTGAGGAATTCATTTCCCGGAAGTCAATTCCTAAAGGAATTTTAACCATTTTTGTGGAGAATGAGAAACCTTGCTATTGAATAACCCCTTGATAAGGGAAAAAGATGTAATGTCGGTCTAAATGCCCCTAATTTGGGCCCATACATAAATTCAGCAATCGACTAAATTTTCAATAGCGACCAAAAATGTCCATTAGTACCGTCCCAATGACGAGTTCATCTAGATAAAATTGATAAATAGCAGATTTTTAGCGATGGGCCCAATCTGAGATCCAGCCAACATTAGAGCTATTTCCTCTATATCCCTATTACTAAACACAATCAGCCACAGGGCTACAACAGATAATGCCAACTGTCTGGCATAACGTCTGCTCGGGCCACGATTGTGCAGTGAAGTTAAGCATGGACTTTTTTGCCGTAATGGTTGAGTAATGCTGAGCTAGTATTGTTGATACAGTGTTCATTTAGTTTAAATTTTAGCAAAAAAGTGAATCATTGCCCATAGCAAACAATTATGCAAAGTTTTTTTTTTACAAATCGGAGAAGGTCGAGTTTTTTTCGATTCGTCATTTGACGTGGAACTGTTCAATACCGTCAAGTTTTGCTTCGGGAATGGAAGAGCTAAACCCACCATGGGCGAAGAAGCTAACTTCGTGAAAGCACTGGATGCGAATCCTGTTCAAATGGAAGCAACATACGGGAAAGCTGTAGAAAAATCCTTTTTTCATAAAGTTTAAGTCCAAAGAATCGTTGACGTTAGTTTGGAAGTTTTAATTTTCCATTATGCGAATGGGAAGGCAGCGGATGTAAGCATGTCGCATGCGGAGAATTATGATCAATATGTGCGAGTTTATGAGAAGTTTTTAACCACGTTGGTGCTAGAGAAATACGGTAAAGTGAAGCGCGTCAGCCGGGAAAAGTTCCCAGTTTCGACAAGCACATTGGGGTGCTTCTACTTAATTTTGAGAAAAGTGATAAATTTATTATAGGACACCCTCTAGCTCGGTTCAATATACCAAAATATGAGTATGCACAAAATGGTAATGAATCATGAAGATTTAGAGATCACGCAGAATTCCTCAATTCGTAAATTTTTACTGAGTACCTGATCCTCTAATGTTTTAAGGTTAATACGCATTCTTCCATTCAGGCTACTTCAAGTTATCATAATACTATTCGAACATTAACTCTAATTTTCACTGAGCAGCTGATCCTCTTATCCTACTATACTTATAATATCCCACCGAAAAAAGAATAAAGAAAAAAAGTGAAACAATTATAAATGAACATACCAATTAATTCAATAGTGTTATTCCACTCGATATATAATTCTGCTATTTGAACAGTCTCATAATTCAAATTTCTGATTGGCTCATAAGTTCACAATGAAATTATCAAATTTATAATTATACAAAATTATATCTCTAGTAGTTAGTTGAATGGTGCTACGTCACCACCTAAATGTTTTAAATATTCGTATTGATTTCGACATTTGACACCGTGGTCAAGCCTCACAAAGCTCTAATCTAATGATTAGACTTGAGATCGATATAATTTAGTTGGTATACTGTCACTTAGCAAGCTCACAGAGCTTGCCAACCTTTTTAATAAATCTTGAATTACTTACTTCAATCGTGATGAACAATATACTTCTTTTAAGCGACTAGAAAATCGCTCCGATCAATCGAAACAATTTTCTATATTCAAACTGTTTCGAGCTTTTTCGTCGCAAGCTTCACTGTTCCTGGAGTATGAATCATAGGCGTAATATCGAAGTATCAAATGCACGAGAATTTTGATAACCATATTGAATCACCTTTTCGAGGCTGCTATGAATTTTCTCCGAGGATAGTTTTACCAACCGGTGGAAACTAACGATTTTAAATTGGCTTACTACTTGACTAGCCTATTGATCCCAAGCAAACGATTAACGTACTCCATTCTAGTCGAAATTCTAGTACTACACAATGTTTGTTTTGATTCGCTATGAAAGTTTGACAGATAAAATGAGAGGTTCGTGGATTTTCCAACGTTTCGAGGGGTGCATCGATTAGCTTGGGACCGAAGATAGTACCAGAGCTGAGCCAAAAAGTTGAGCACGTTTCTTCGGGACCTTCTGGTCTTATAGTTACCATAGAGGTAACTCTAAGACTAGTAGGTCCCGAATAACCGTGCTCAACCTTTTGGCTAATTTAAAATCGATAGTTTCGTATTGATTGTTGGTATTACGTCTAAAATAGACGTCACATTTAGTTTGACATTTCGTTGTCATAATTGGTAAGGGGCACTCGAATGGAATATTAAGTGTCAATAGAAATAAATTTGAAATTATTTTCATTTCGCTTTGAAATCAAGACTTGTATACGTTTTTAGCGAAATCGTGAAACGTGCGCATTCTAATGCTGTGAAAATAACAATAACAAACTTGACACTGCTTCAATTCAATGCACGTGAGTTTTGTTTTGAAATTGTTTTAATTGCAAACAAACGAAATTATCAATTCTTTATTAGATTCAAGCGATTCGAAGAGATTCTACAATATCCTAACAATCTTCATCGTCATCGAAGCTTTCTTTCTCTGGAAATTTTTTGTCCAGAATCGATTATTGATAGGACAACATCTAGTAGTGATTGTTTCCTGTTCCGGTCGATTCCACACGCTTGTTATTTGAATTCCAAAGTAGATTTCAAGTCAAAGCTATTCGAGGTCACCATTTTGAGTTGCTTCTGCGCATTCTTCTGAGTCGCCATACAAAATCAAATAGCTTCCTTTTCGAAAGGTGACCTGTTTGATATTATCCATGCACGGACGAGGATGCATGTTGTTCAGCATGTACTGAGATACTTTCAGGCGTGTTCCAAAAAAAATCCTCTGGATGCATGTCCAGCACTGCCACGAGTGCCACGTTCTTCACTGCAACTTGCAATACATCCTCGAAGTCGGGGAATGTCACCAGTGGTCTGGCTTTCATGGCTCTCTTAACTGCCGCAGTGAAGAAACAAACTCAAGTTTTCACCCTATAACCGGGAAAGATCTTGCATATTTGCCAACGGGAGCAGAGGTCTGATTAAATGCCAGCAGTCGTCGCGAAAAGATGATTGTTTTGAAGCCTTCAAAAGTCTGGGAAGCCTATTGCATGCTCTCAACTTAGTGTTCTAGATGCACTTCCACAGTTATTAATTGAGAGCTTAAGTGATCATCAAACAGTATGCAGGATGGACAAGTATCTTGAGTGGTCTCAGGATGACCTGACGTTTAACGATGTTGGACTGCAGTGACACATATCTCACATTCTTCCTTCTCCAATTGTACTAGCGAGATTTTTCATTTCCCGCATTTTCTTGCAGTAAAGAGCATAAAAGCCCAAACGCAATGTGGACGGAAGCGAAACGGAAACGGAAAGTGTGACAGTTGTCACAAATGACATCAAGAGGCCTAACCGAAGTCGATTTGATTCTAACTAGTTATCAATCCGACAAGTAGGCTTACTCAGATCGGGCTTTTCCGCTGCCGCTGCCGTTCCGCTTCCGCTGTCATTGCGCTTGGGCCTTAAGTATTTAGCTTTGAGTTCGTGCGTTTCCTGAAAATTCTCGTACATACACGGTAAGAAAAAGTACCCAACGGAAAATTCACTATTACCTACTTTTGACTAGTTTGTCTCCTTTTCTCCTTCTAATGTTGTCAAAAACGGAGGAGCAAAATCACCCAACAGGGGTAGTAAAGTGTGGGAACCCAACGTTGAGTATAATCATATTTACCTACTGTTGGGTACAACTAACTTACTTTTGGTTAAAAAGCCAGTGGAAAATTCCATACGAATTGCACACAAGTAAATGAAATTTACTTTGACCCGCTTTACCTACTTTTGGGTTCCTGCCCTATAGTGCCGAGATGAGTGAAAAGAACTTAATTTTGGGTACTTTTTTCTAACCGGGTAGACTTCTCAGTTAGATCTGATGGAAGATATAATCTGTTTGGGGCGTGCTTTCTACGGTAATGTGACACTGTTGGGCCGTACGATAGAATGTGCTTTTCAATAGCGTTACGCTTTTCCGCGTTACGTTTGTACTTTCCCCGCTGTGATTTCTTCAGCTGATCACCTTCAACGCAACGATAAATGATGTTGCTGTGGAAGTAATTATATGCGTAGAATATCGGCACTACTATGATAAGATAAAATGTACTCACCCAGAGTTGTCACCGTAAACGAAGGTGTTTCAAAAGAACTTGTGACAAACTTTAACAGAAGTACCGTTGGAGAAAACAAGTTGAAACACAAAGCTCTTGAATTTTCTAGGCTCATCTTCGCTGTACCTACTGTACCGGCGTTTTCTTGATTCAGCGTCCATAACATAGCGGTCAACTTGATCCGATCGTCTTTGTATATTTCATTCCATCTTGCAGCCGCAATCAGCAAATTTTACTTGGGAAGAAAGACGACGCTTCTTCGCAATTTTTTCTCGCATTGAGTTCCTTTTTGGTCCATTTTCATTTTTTTTGTAGCCTCACCAACAGCAGTGCAGCTTCTTTATCGGAGTTTATGTCGCTTTCTGCCTCTGAATCTTCTATAGATTTAATGTAGTTTGCCCACGACTCTGGAAATTTCTTAGTGGGGAAATGATCGAGAACCAGGTCGAGAACACTACCATTGGATTCAAACCCAGCAAACTTTCACACTTAGAAAAAATAACCGACTTCGGTAATTCATTTACCGAATTCTCAACAGCCGAACGGTCGGTAATGTAATGTAAAATCTGTAAACTGAATCAGCAAAATTAGCTGTCAAATCTACCGAACGATCGGTAACTTTTACCGA